TATATTTAATTGGTAAGTCAGAGTGTAACGTATTATTTTAATGTTGTGGAATGAAGAGGAAAAATATATATATATTTATAAGTTGTTACCTATGCACAATTATAAAAATTAATTTTTTTTAGTTAAAAAGAACCACAATGAACAATAAAATTTATTGAAGGGTAATTAATATTTTAGTATTTTGGCTATATGATATTATTGTTTTGTATATAAGAAAGTGGTGCTTTTAACATTAAGCAATGAGCCGTAAACATTCAATGTAATCGTTTTGTAAGAGTAGTGAAAGTTTGTTATTTTTCTCTCTTCTCTCTCTTCTTTCATCTTCATCTTGTGCACCAACAAAATACATTCACGAAAGAATTTGTGTTGATTTTGTTTCTTAAATTTGTGTTGAATTTCTTTTATTAGAATCGTAATAAAATTCTCCATCAGTGTGTGGATGCGAACGCGGTTGAGAAAATCGTTGATTCAACTACGGTGAAGGCTGCGTGTGACACACTGGTACGGTGCTACAGCGGTTATGCATCAGCGAAGAAGATGAAGCTTCAGTCTCTACGTAAGTAGTATGAGAATCTCAGCATGAAGACAATGAACACGTACCTGACTACATCTCTAGAGTGATTCTGATCACAAATGAGATGAAGTCGTGCGGTGAAACTTTCTTTGAAGAAAATATTATTGAGAAGGTACTTAGATCTCTTACTCCTCAGTTTGATTACATTGTGGTGACAATTGAATATTCTAAGGATCTTAGCACCATGAGAATTGAAGAGTTGCAAAGCATTCTAGAGGCACAAGAGTTGCGTCTGACTGAGAGAAACTCTAAAAGGGAGGTAGAACAGCAGGCTCTTGAAGCAGCTTCATGTAAGAAATATCAAAAGCAGTCTTGGTCAGAAGCCAGGAAGAAATTTGATGGTGTTCAGAAGTCAGAAACCTCAACTTCTTGAAGGCAGAAGAGTGGTCAGAAAGGGGAAGGAAAAGTATGACAAGAAAAATGTTCAATGTTACTATTGTAAGAAGTTTGGTCACTTCGCTACTGATTGTTGGTCAAACAAGGAAAGAAAGTCAGAATAATCAAACATAATCAGAAGAAATTCTGATGATGAATCTGTGTTATTAATGGCTTCTGAATTTGATGATGCGTATTTGGAAGACTGGTGGTATATGAACACTGACTGCTCAAATTATCTTAATGGAAATAAGAAGTGGCTGGTTGTTTTTGACTCTAGAAAGAGGACAAAGATCATATGTGTTGATGATAAATACCACAATGTTGAAGGTATGGGAAATGTCAGAGTAGTTCTAAATAATGGTAAAACTGCATTGATTCAGAATATGTGGTATGTTCCTGATATGAATAGCAATCTGATGATTGTAGACCAATTAATTGAGAAAGATTTTTCAGTTACCGTGAAGGATAATCTTTTGAAGTTGTATTACTGTAATCAGAAGTTGATTATGAAGTCAGAACATGGAAGGAATAGAATATTCAAAGTGAATGTTAAAACTACAAACTCTAAATGCCTTAATGCAACAAGTGTTGTGAAGGAAAGTGAGTTGTGGCATAAAAGATTTGGTCATTTGAACTTCAGAAGCTTAGGGCATCTGAATTCGAAGAAGTTGGTACATGGAATTCCCGTAATTAAGAAGCCAGAGAAGTCATGCAATGTGTGCATGGGAGGGAAGCAACCAAGACTATCATTTGCATCTGAAATGCCTCCAAGAATAAAGTATTCTTTAGGCGTGGTGTATTTTGATGTGTATGGACCATTTCCAGTACCTTCATTTGGAGGGAATAAATACTTTGTGTCATTTGTTGATGAGTTCACAAGGATGACATTGGTATCCCTTATAAAGTTCAAACACAAGGTGTTTGTTGAATTTAAGAAATTCTGAGTGAAGGTTGAAAAATAGAGTGGTCAGAAGCTAAACATTCTCAGAACTGATGGTGGGGGTGAGTACAACTCTATCGAGTTCAAGAATTTCTATGAGGAGAATGGAATTGAGCATGAAGTGACTGCTTTATATACTCCTTAACACAATGTTCTTCTGTAAAAAGAAACTAAACTTTGCTTAATATGACAGGCAGCATGCTGAAGGAGAAGAAACTCCCTCACACTTTGTGGGAAGAAGTTGTTGTCACTGCAACATATGTACTCAACGGGTGTCCAACAAAGAAGTTGAAGGAAATTGTTCCTTTTGAAAAGAGGACTAGAGATAAGCAAAGTGTGAGCCATTTGAAGGTGTTTGGTTATATGTGTTTCAAACATGTTTTAGATCCTAAGAGAAGAAAGTTAGATGATAGAAATAGAGTTATGTTGCTTTTAGGGTAGCATAGTACAAGTGCTTATAAGTTTTACTGTCCTATCACTAACAAGGTTGAATTTAACAGAGATGCCATTGTGAAAGAATTAAAAGTGTGAGATTGGAGTAAGTCTCAATCCAACTCTGATGTCGTATTAACGCTTGAGTTAACTTCTGAAGATACTTTAGAATCTGAAGGTTCTAAAGATGAGTCAGAATCAGAAGATGATTTTGAAGGTGAGTCCGAATATGAGTCAAAGTTTAATAGTAACTTTGATTCTGAAGGTGACTCTGAAGGTGGATTGTATTATGATCTAGATTTTGATGGCGATTCAGAGTCTGGATCACCACTAGAGTCTGAAAAAGAAAGTGTGGTTGAAAGCCATGAAAGAAGAACTTAAGGCTATAAAAAGAAATAAGATTTAGGAGTTGACTGATCTTCCAAAGGACAAGAAAGTCATCAGCATAAAATGGGGTTTCAAGGAAAAACTGAAGCCAAATGGATCAATTTCAAAACACAAAGAAAGGTTAGTAGCAAGAGAATTTCTACAGAAACCTGAGTTAGATTACTTTGAAGTGTTTGCGCCTGTAGCGAGACACAAGACAATCAAACTGGTGATTATGATAACTGCTAACAGAAATTGACCTCTGATGCATTTAGATGTGAAATCTACTTTTATGAACATTTCATTGCAAGAAGAGGTATATGTGTCACAACCTACTGGATTTGTGAAAAAGAATCAAGAAAGAATAGTGTACAGGTTACATAAATGGTTTGTATAGACTAAAACAAGCTCCTAGAGTTTGGAATATGAAAATTGATTCATTATTCAAGCTTCAAAAATTCAGAAAGTGTGAAATGGAGTATGGCATTTATGGTCAGCATACCTTTGAAGAAAATATGATTCTGGTGTGTCTTTATATTGATGACATATTGCTAACAAGGAGTTATGAACATGAGGTAACTAAGTTCAAGAAGGTGTTGATGAATGAGTTTAAGATGACTGATCTAGGAAATATGACATATTTTTTAGGGATGAAGATTATGTATTCTAAGAAAGGTATCATTTTACATCAGCTGAAGTATGGACTTCAGCTTCTGAAAAGATTTGAGTTGTTGAATTATAAGGTTGTTGTCACCCCTGTTGAAATGAATCACAAGTTAGATTCTGATATTGATGATGATGTAGATGCTACAACTCTCAAGAAGTTTGTTGGATCTCTGAGCTATTTGTGTAATATCATGCCTGATATTTGCTATGTAGTTGGAATGACTAGTAGGTTCATAAGTAAACAAAGGTGTTCCCATTACCAAACTGCTGTCGGGATTCTAAGGTATGTTAAGGATACTCTGAAGTATGAAGTTTTGTTCCCTTCTAGTGAAAAGACTAATTCAGAGTTGATATGTTGCTCAGACTTTGATTGATGTGGAGACAGAGTTGACAGAAGAAGTAATTATGGATATTTGTTTAAGTATCCGAGAGCTCTTATTTCATGGAGTTCCAAGAAGCAACCAGTTGTTGCTTTGTCAACTTGTGAAGCCGAATACATTGCAGGTGTTTGGGCTACATATCAAGCTGTTTGGATTCTGAATTTACTGCAAGATCTGAAGATCAAGATAAACAAGCCTCTGAAGCTAACTATTGATAATAAGTCTGCAATCAATCTTGCCAAGAACTCAGTGCTACATGGGAGAAGCAAACATATTAAGACTAAGTATCATTTTTTGAGAAGTCAGTTTCAGAATGCTAGAAGTTATGCACTGTAACACCCAGAAGCAGCCGGTAGATGTTTTGTTCTAACAAAAGCGATCAAGACTGATCAATTTCTCCACTTGAGTGATGGAATTGGTGTTGTTAGTTTTGATTAGTTAAATCCTGAATTAAGAGATAGCGTTGAAGAGTAATTTAATAATTTAGTATTTTAATTAGTATTTTGTCTACATGACATTATTGTTTGTGTATATTAGTGTGCTTAGTCATTAAGCAATGAGTTGTAATCATTTATTGTAACCATTTTGTGAGAGTAATAAAAATTTGTTATTTTTCTCTTTTTTCTCTCTTCTTCCATTTTTTTTTCTTCATCTTGTACACCAATAAAATTCCCTCACAAAAGAATTTATGTATTTCGAATTAGATTCAAACTTATAATATTTGATTAAACTGAAAGAAAAAGAAGTGCAGTTGAATATTATTGTTATTGTTCATAGAGGAGATTGACACATATTATTTTTACCCCATATAACTTGTATATAACTTATATCTTTGAATGATACTAAATTTGATGAAAGGGAAAAAATAAGATGAGTAGAAAAATGTGATGATAGAATATTGTAGAAGAGAGATAGGATCAAATGTATATATAGTATTTTTACAACAAAAGACTCCCAAACTCAATCCAACCCATAAATAATTGTTATCCTTAGTTATGTCAAGGGTTAATTACCTAGACTTGTTTCTAGCAGCCACTCCAATCCAAGTGGAGAATGGTCAAAGATACACTACACAAGCATCAACAACCAAGAATACTATAACCACATAATTAATTAATATTAGATGAACTAATGGAATAGAAAGTCACATCCATTTCTCTTTATGCTACTATATATATATAACCAAGTATGCTAAGTACTAACATTAAGCTCAAACTCTTGAACTTAACTTCAAAAAATAGTGAGGCTTTGGCAATTTATCATAATGGAACGAGAAGTGATGGAAGTAGAAACAATGAAAAAACAGAATTCTCCAGCAGTTTCAACTCCACCACAACTTCAAATACATTCTCCTAATGCAATAACTTTTCCTATAGCAAGTCCCATGAAGAAAGCCATTGAAAGCATCTTCGAAGAAGTTGGTGAATTCACCAAATTTGATCCACGAGATGATTGGCTTCCAATCACTGCTTGTAGAAATGGAAACGCTTATTATGCAGCTTTTCATCTTCTTTCTTCTGGAATTGGATTTCAAGCTCTTGTTCTTCCCTTGGCCTTTACCACTCTTGGCTGGTGAGTCACACTAATATTATTATTTATGGTTTAAAATTCAACTATCTAGAAAATTTTCTCGCATTCTTATCTGATAAAATTTGAAAAAAACTTATTCTCTTATTCCTTATCTTATAAGTCAAGTCAGGTTCGAATCATATCATTCAGCGTCAAGTCAGGTTCGAATCATATCATTCAGCGTTATGAATATTAATACAAACTCGTTAGTAATTATAGAAACTTGTAATATTGGTGCAGGATTTGGGGAATTTTAAGTTTATGTGTGGCTTTCACATGGCAGTTATACACGTTATGGTTATTGATTCAGCTTCATGAATCAGACTTAGGGGTACGACATAGCAGGTACCTCAAACTTGCTATGGCAGCATTTGGTAAGTCTTTTTTTTTTTTAGGATTAAAATTTTGACAAAAATAAATAAAATGAACAAGTTTAAATTTTTTTTGTGTGCATGTTTTAAAATAATAAAAAATCTTTAAATGAAAATTAGGATTAACATATCAGAAAATCAGAGTCTCTCTATTTAATTTAACAAGTAAGTAAGTTTATATGTAAATCAACTATAAACTATAAACTCACAACTTCCTACTTTTAATTACAACTAAGTTGATTTAATTTTGCCAAGAAACTAATAAAAAAAAAAAATTCTCAATCTCAAAATAACTTATATTCATAAAATAAAACCTGTCCCAAATTCTTGACCATTTTTTAAATAACATCTAATATATATGAAGATGAATTTATCAATAAATTGTAGGAGTAAATTAGTGAAAAATTATCTAGTTTTTTTTTAATATCTTGAACTTTGTATTTAATTAATTCATTAACTAATGAGCTCGTTTGTTTCAATTTTTAAAAAATATATATAATATATTTTTATTAAAAATTGCAATTTTTTTTAAAAAAATATTGGTTTTATAGTGTTTTCATAAAATATTGTTTTGAACATTTTATCGGTTTGTTATAAGTTTTTTAAATATTAAAATTTCAAAAAAAAAATCACAATTTATTTTGAATAGTTTTATTTTATAAAAATTATTTTGATGTTATATCTATTTTAAGAAATATGTGGGTTTGGTCATATTAAATATTTATAGATAAATATTTAAGTTATTGGATGTCAAAAATATTATTTTGTTAATATAAAAAATGATTCAAATAACTTCTACTATTTAAAAGAAATCTTATAAAAGTTATTTTAAAAAATATAAAGAAAAATTATTTTTAGTCTATAACAACTTGATATAAAAAAGTAAAATAAAAAACTCATCATGTGTGTCCAAGTACAAATGCACATTCGGGCCCTCCAATATTATATTCTCTCGATTTTAAAATAAAAGTCTTTTTAATTAAAAAAAAAACTTATTTTAAAATAAGAGTCTTTTAAGTTTTTAATGTAATATTAATTAATTTTTACCAACTTTACTTCTAATAAATATTGTCAACATTACTTTTAAGATATTATATCATACTGTATTTTTATTTTTTGTGACAACCAATAATAATTAAAAGCAGTATAGTATTGTAAAATTGTTATACTTAATCATTTAATCATTATTTTTTCTAATCTACATGCAACAACTTTAAAAAAAATTTATTCTCATTTTGACATGGAGGAAGTATTAACTTTTGAAATGGTTGATTTATAGCATATAGGACTTGCAAAATGGATTGCAAACTGGATAATTCATGTTTAAGAACTCAATAATCTTATAGATATAAAAAAAAATATAGTTTTTATAAAAATCATGCGTTATTTTTATAATTAATGATATAATAGAAGAGAGGAAACAAAATTGTATTTTTAAAATATGAATAAATAAATATTGTTAGAAAAAAAAATTATTAATACATATGAAAATTTAGAAATTTTTTTATAAAAAAAGAATTACAAAATCAGTCTAATATTTTAATGTATGTTTTGCATCTTATTGTAGTGTTTAGATTAAATCAAAAATATATTTTATTTTCAATAATGATTCAAGTAAAACTATATAATATAATGTTTTGGATAAATAATTGAATTTATTCAAACTTTTTTTTTATTTAAGTTTGGTCAATAATTTAATTTGTATAGGTAACTCACCAAATTTTAAGTTAGATTTATTTCAAAAAAAAAACTCACAACATGCTAGTATTATCTAATAATTTACATTAAGTGTGAGTATGTGAACAAGGTTGGTCTCTAATTTGGATAACATAAACAAAGAAAAGTACAAGATAAATTAATTTAAAACTTCTCCTCCATTGATAATTATGATTGGCTTAATCAAGATCAACTAGTGTTTGTTAATCATCTGAATCAATTGACAGGAGAAAAGCTAGGAAAAATACTGGTACTTTTTCCCATCCAGTATTTATCTGGTGGAACATGTGTGACACTGACTATGATTGGAGGTGGCACAATGAAGATACTCTTCCAGATTCTATGTGGAGATTCATGCAGTTTATACCAACTCAAAACCATAGAGTGGTATTTGGTATTCACTGTGGCTGCAATTTTGCTTGCTCAGCTTCCAAACCTTAATTCATTTGCAGGGGTTTCTCTCATAGGAGCAACCACAGCTGTAGGATATTGTTCTATAATATGGATTGTGTCTTTACTTCAAGGTAGGATTGATAATGTGTCATATGAGTCACCAAAGGGAGAATCACAGGCTAGTAGGATTTTTGGTGTGTTGAATGCACTTGGAATCATTGCTTTTGCTTTTAGAGGTCACAATCTTGTGTTGGAAATACAGGTATAGAGTAGAAAACATATGACCCTAGTGATTGTCAAAAACTTTGATTTTTCTAAGGTTTGTGTTTTGTTACAGGGAACCATACGTTCTGAGTCAAAGAATCCTTCACGTTTGGCAATGTGGAAAGGGGTTGTGTTTGCTTATCTAGTCATTGCCTTTTGTTTGTTTCCTTTAGCCATTGGAGGCTATTGGTCCTATGGAAATTTAGTAAGTAACTTTTCTTAGCTCTAAAGTCATCTAATGTGTATTTCCAGACAAAATCACAGTTTTCATCGCTTTTGGATGTATATTTCCGAAATCAAGAACATATATTCATTTTGGTGATATTTGATGACAGATACCTTCAAATGGAGGAATCTTAAGTGCTTTGCAGAAATACCATGGACATGATACATCAAAAGTTATCATCGCTTTGACGAGTTTGCTTGTCGTCATCAACAGCCTCAGTTCTTTCCAAATTTACGCAATGCCAATTCTTGACAATCTAGAATTCAGATATATCAGCAAAAAGAACAAACCTTGTCCGAGGACGCTGCGAATAGTCTTCAGATGTCTCTTCGGCTGCCTGACATTTTTTATTTCTGTAGCATTGCCGTTCTTGCCAAGTTTGGCAGGTCTCCTCGGAGGCATTGCTCTACCAATAACCTTAGCTTATCCCTGTTTCATGTGGATACTGATTAAGAAACCAAAAAGGTTTAGCACAAGTTGGTACCTAAACTCGACGCTTGGAGCAGTTGGGATGGTTCTAAGTGTACTGGTTGTAACAGGAGCCATTTGGGGTATGGTAGCACTGGGCATTCAGATCCACTTCTTCAATCCATAGTAGTAGCACCAAATTATACTATTGTAACCAAAAATAAATATATCACTATCCCATAAGTTGACTTGCCGGCATTTGCTAGGGTTTCGAAAACAATAATGCAAATCAGTACACACAACGGAATTAGTATAAGTGGAATGTGCCAAAAATTAAGCAGCTTCTGCATAATATCACACAGCTTAAAAAACTACTCAGCTTCAATGTTGTCTTTACACAAGAATTCACTCGATAGTATATGAACTTTCACATGTAAGTTTGCCGCACTATCAAAAGGATCAAAAACTTACAGTAATTTGCATCAGTTGTACTAAGGATACATAACCATAAACAACCAGAAAGAAATTCAAAATATATAGATATGTGTGACAAGATCCTAGCACAACTAAGTTACACCGCCTCTGATAAGGATCAACATGAACCAATTGGATAAGCTTGTATTGATGTAAAAACATTGTTTATATTCTTTAGTCAACTTGCTATAGGCGGAATCAGAAGTTACACAATTCAATGATGAACGGGAAGCTGTATCAAGTGAAAAAGCTCATGAAAGGTCGAGACCCTATTCCGGTAAAAATGTGGTGAGAGAAAGGGAAATAGGCCACAGATCAATCATTGATACCACTTTACATTGACAATGGAAGAAGCATCCGCCGTTTCTTTTTCCTTGCCAGTCTTACTTGCTTTGTAATTTTCATGCATAAAAGTAAGAGCACTGTGATGAAGACTAATATAAAAGCAAGCCGGATGTGCTTAAAGTACAAAGAAACAACTGAAAACACCAAGAAAGCTAAAACAACAAGTTCCCATATTACAAAGACCACCACATCCACCCTGCACGATAACAAAGAGTAAACAAAAAAACATCAATATCCATCCTATTGTGTAACCTAAAAAGCATTAATAAACAGACATCACGCAATTTAACAAGAACTTCAAGACACAAGTATTTTATAAGAAATTTAAAGCCTGAAATCAACACCATAAAAAATAGCACCAAAAAGTAATCAATTACCAACCCAAGCAAATAGCACATTTAATCTTTCTATTTCATTCATGTTTATACAATTGTATAGTCACTGAAAAATAACTCAATTGTCAAAACATAAAAAGGTTATAGAACATCCAACATCTTCAAAAAAGAGCTTAATCAGGTGAAGGCAGCACCAGTAAACAGTAAACATTCCTGTTTTACCCCAATGTTTATAATATAACAGGTAGCACATTATTTTGTGTTTGTTTCCAATACATTTTATGGAGTTCAACAAAAAGTGTACCAATTGATCATTATAAGATGATTCAAATGCAGTAAAACAATAACTAGCAAATTTGCATGTTGTCAATTGAGTAAAAAAGATTCTATAGTATGAAGTCCGAAAGATTTATAGAGAGACCCCTTAAGCAAGCAAATCACTTTTCAAAGCAGCAGGAGATCTGAGGCCAAAAGTGCTTGGGAGGAAGAAATCCAAATTGAGTAATCAATGTTGGGTTTGCTTATTAGTGTTTCTAAGGAAACTTTTTGTTTGACAAACTTCTCATTCTAAACAATTGTGCTAAAACAACAACGACAACTAAGTCTTATTCCAATAAGTGGGATCAGCTACATGGATCAATCTTCGCCATAATGTTCTATTCAGGGTCATGTTTCTATCCAAATCGTTAATCTTGAGATCATTCTTAATAACTTTTCTAATAGTTTTTCCAGGTCTTCTCTACCTCTAATTGTTTGACTTTTTCCATTTGATATACTCTCCTTACTACATAATCTATCAATCTTCTCTCTACATGCACAAACCACCTAAGTCTATTTTCCACCATCTTTTCTACTATAGATGCTACTCCAACCCTCTCTCTAATATTATCATTTATAATCTTATCCTGTCTAATCTTACCACACATCCAATGCAACATCCTAATCTTATTCTCGTATTGATTCTTAACCATCCAACATTACATGAAACCTATGAAGCACGGACACCCCGAACACAACCCCTACACTGCAGCATCCGTAATAATTTGAAAATTTGAATAACTTTAACATAAACACAAATGTCGATGCAGGTGTCTAACACTTACACGGACACACTTTTTTCAGAGGTGTCGGTGCTACATGGCATGGAACTAAATACATTGTTTTGAGAAAATAGTCTGACATCATTCCAACCTTCTCATCGACATATCACAATCCCCTTAAGTAACTACTAGCTATGCCCTGATGTTGCTTTTGTAACCCATGAAGCTGGTAATTGAAGCCAATTTTCTCAATCCCAAATTTCAAAATTATAGCCAACCCATATGAAACTTGTAATTGAAGTCAATTTTCTCATTCGCCAAAAACAAAACAATGTATGAAGCCCTTTTCTCAAACTAGGAAGTAACTATGAAACCTTATGAATCAAAACCTAAGTTTCCCTTCAATGCTTACCAACTATCCTAAATCCAGGTTAACACCTCTTTCTACACAACAATCATTACCGAAAATTTCCATCAAAATCAAATTTATACAATTACTGAACAAATTGAAAATAAAAACAAACAATTGATTCATTGATATTGATTTGGCATAATAAACATGTCAAAAAATCATAATAATTTGTTACTTATCATTTAAAAATTGGCATACCTGGAAGTGGCGATATTGGGAGAAGTAGAAGAGAAGAAGGAGACAGAGGCCCAATCATGCTTGGATCGAATCTGATAATCTCGCAGCTGTTCCGCAAGATTCGATCGTGTTATCATGATAGGTTACCCTCTCTTCTTTCTCTCTCTATAACTCTGATTTTCTCTCTCTAGAATGAAAATGGCGAGTTTTTTTAGAGACAGAAATGAGTTTGGTTAGTTACAAAGACGAATCTAACCAATCAGCGTTGAATCAATTTGTTTTGGTTTCAACTCGTGCGGGGTTTATAGTACAAGCCCAATTAATTTCAATTTGTATGCACTTCAACGAATCACCATTTATTTTATAGTATAAATTTTAAATTAATAATATAATAAAATAAATTAATAAATTTTTATTAGATAATAATATAAAATTATTTTATATTATTAATGTATATCAATTAAACTCTAAATTAATTATAATAATTTATTAAAAATATTAATCTTTAGGAAAAGAGCATGGTCTCGTCTCATAGATGATATTTGGTGAATGTGAATTTGGGGTTGGGTTGTTCGCCCATTAAAGCGGTACGTGAGCTGGGTTCAGAACATCGTGAGACAGTTCGGTCCATATCCGGTGTGGGCGTTAGAGCATTGAGAGGACCTTTCCCTAGTACGAGAGGACCGGGAAGGACGCACCTCTGGTGTGCCAGTTATCGTGCCAACGGTAAACGCTGGGTAGCCAAGTGCGGAGCGGATAACTGCTGAAAGCATATAAGTAGTAAGCCCACCCTAAGATGAGTGCTCTCCTATTCCAACTTCCCCAGAGCCTCCGCGTAGGGTGGGTTCTCTGTCCCTACGGGGACGGCGCAAAAGAAGTTTTGAGAATTCAAGGTCACGGCGAGACGAGCCATTTTTCATTAACGATAGGTGTCAAGTGGAAGTGCAGTAATGTATGCAGCTGAGTCATCCTAACAGACCGATAGACTTGAACGTTTTCACTGAATATTTTTTTTTTAATTTAAACTAAGGTGACATGAATTTATTTTTATTTAGAATTATTTAAAAATACACTTTTAAATATTTTTATTTTCAATTTTTTCAACATGAACAATTAGTAAAGTGAAACAATTAATATATCAAAGATTCAAAATAGGACCACATTCACCAAATGTGCCAATTGCACTATGAGGTTTCAAAGAATGTATTAACTTATTAATTCATTCTTTTTGACATTTTGAACATTTATTAATATATTATATCATTTTTTTTAACATTTTGAAGATGAGAAGTTTAAATAAAATCCATCTACACTGAAATTACATTTAAATAATACTTAAAATATTTAATAATATATTAAAATTAATTTTTAACAAAATTTATAAATATATTTATCCACACGTTATTTATATATATATATATATATATATATATATATATATATATATATATATATATATATATATATATATATATATATATATATATATATACACACACACACACGTGTATATTTATAAATTTTTAAATGTCTTGTCTTGTATGATTATAGAAAAATATGTGACGAACAATCAAGATACATGTATGATTGAATTGTCTCGACATGTTTTAGTGTCTAGGGAGAAAGCAAAATTCTCATGTGTAATTTTAGAATCATCTTATGTTGCTAAGGAATCATCTTCCTATGGTTATGGATCTTCGGATCATGACAATGCACATGCTGTTTCCGTACATGTTCCTGATGTTATTCTACATGCGCACGATCAAGGTTTTCAAACTCACAGGTCTACTCAGACTCGCAAAGGATCTCTAAAATCGACTCGCAGACTCATGTAAGTCTGTGTAAACTTAAAAATGACTTTCAAAAATTTGTAAGTGACACATATACACGTGTATATTTATAAACTTTTAAATGTCTCGTATATGACACAAATATATATATATATATATATATATATATATATATATATATATATATATATATATATATATATATATATAATAGAACACGAATTAACATCAAAATTCAATCTTCATATTCCATAACAAACTTCTTAACGAAAAAACTTGATAATAAAACAAACAAAATAGCAAAGTATGTAGTTGACGACTTAAATTACTAATTCCTTCTTAATGACTACTACATAATGCAAAAAAAAAAAAAATCATAAAATAAATATGATAATGGTTTCAAACATCCAATGCTCTAGTGAAATCAACACAATCAATATCATCATTATCTTCTTCTTCGCTATCTTGACTATAATTAAATAATTTGGTTTTTCCCAAATGAAACACATTATTTATCAAAATTAAATTGCTTGAAGTTCTACTTCCACCTAACTCACCAATGCCACCACCACTATTTTGCATAAAATTAGTAACAACAATATCAACTTCCACGACATTGTTAACAGTAACATCATATTGCTCAACATTAACTTCAATTTGTACATTTTTTTCATTAGGATCTTCAGTTATCCATTCATCTGAATGAATGAATATTTTCAAATAAAATAACAACAACTTTTTTTTTTCCTTTTCTAATTTTCAACCTCAAATTGTACATGACATAAACCAAATTATTCATCTTTTTTATATGCAACATATTTTTTTCTCTATGTATGAATTTGCAAAGTAAATAATAATTCAACTCAATGTTTCTAATTTTCAAACAAATAAGAATTAAATCTATACAACAAATTATAATTCAATTATTATTTCAAAGGAACACAAATTTTGTTCACAACTAGAGGAGCTGCAAGTTAAGTTTAGAACACGAATTGCAAATCTCTTTAATTATGGAGTTATATCCTTCCTAGAGTTCTTTGCTGCTTCACAACCAAACATGCTTCTAGCATTATCAAATTCAGTCATTTGCTTAAGAATTTTATTGCGCTCAAAAGTAAAAAAAATTAAAAATTGGGGAATTTTGACCTTTTTGGGTTTTTTTCAAACAAAATTATAAAACATATAGACTTGTAAACTCGCCATAGACTCGTGAGTCTTTACGAGTTTGTGCGAGTCTACTCAAGTCTATCAAAAAATTATTTTATGTGTGATTCTACTCGTTTTTTCTTCCTAGGTGTCACACCTCGGAAAAAGAGAACATGACGCTCGTGAAGCGCAATTGCACGCTCGCGGAATGGACTGGACAGAGTCGTCATCAAACTTTATTTATTCTCAATGAAGATTAAACCCCTAAAATAACAACAATGATATGATTGTCGCAACCAAATAAAGGTTTCAGAGTCGATTACGCAAGGGGCAAGTATTATAACTCCCCACGTTCGTTGTACTCAATAGAAACCATTTGGTTAGTTGTACACATTAGTGTTAGTTTGAAAATGTTAGTCTTCTCAAGTTATTAAAAGAAAGAAGAATAGGGCAAAAAGGTGAATTTTTTATTAGGGTGTCTGACGAGACTTTGAATCTCGCTCCTACGTATTTCTAGGTGCGATGGAGAACTCAAGGTTACGTAGTTCTGGATAGAAAATATTTATTTGTTGGTCGATTTTAGCAAAAGTATTTTGTCTCAATCAACGGAAATACATTACTTCCTATCCAAAATAAGTGGGGAAAGGAACATTTGCATCCGATCGAATGGATAGACATATCAACATTCACAAAAAAACATCGCTAGCTTACTCGCACATATAAGTGGACGAAGCGTTGTTTTGCATCGTCTTGAGACAAAATACCTTTTGTTTGAGAAAAGGATTTGAAAGTCATCTTGCGACGGCGAGAGAAAAGTTTGATGTGTTTGATTCTTTTTGGGTTATAAGTAGAGTATTTACAACTTAGGTCTAATACTTAGAACTATGATTGGAATTTACACCTAGGTAATTATTTCCTTCTATTTTTATGAAATAGGTCAAAGTTGTTAATGGTTAGTCATTTTTAATCACGGTTACGAAAAATGGTTTGAAGTAGTTTAAGGGTTTGAAAATGATTGAAGGTGAAATGTTTGAGAAGTTGGGATAGTGGAAATGGTTTGAAAAGAAATCTTTGAAATTGTTTAATTTGAGAAAATTACTCGACGTTGGAAAAGTAATAAAAAGTGATTGATTTTAATCTTAAGTTAGAAGTTAACTAAAATAACAAAGCAATAAAAAGGAAATCAATAAAATTAGGCAAGCAATACAAACCCCGGGAGGTAGGGGATACATTTTTTCGAATCGGGATTGCAGATGAATATAAAGCAAATAACAACAAATAATAACAACATTATACAAACCCTAATCAAAGTTGGAAAAAAGGAGAAAGAGGAAACAACTATTTACATGCGTCATATGAACACCGATAGAGATTACTTAATTAATTGACTAAGAACAATAAAAATAATTAAATAAGTAATCAAATAAATCACTTAGCAACTAACAGAATAATTAATTAATCAAAGTCTAATCAGCTAATCAAATAAAAATATAATTAAAATAATAATCAAATAAAATAAGATAAAAGAAGATAATAACAAAAATAAATAAATCAAAACAAAAAGGGTGCATACATGAATATGAAGGTTTAAAAAATTATTATGGGCCTAAAAAATCACACTCCTAAACCTAAATAACATATAAAATAGATTAAAATAATAAAATAACAAGGAAAAAAACATAAGGGAGGCACCTCACATGCAATAACAAAATTTGACCACTTTCAAAATTCAAAAGTCACCGACCAATTGGTGACATGTGGAAACTCAAAAAAATAATAATAAAAACTTAAAACTAGCAAACAAAATCCTCTCTCTCTATGTGTCTCTCCCTCTCTCTCGTTTCTCTTCTACTTTTCTTCACAAACAAATACCCATATGCTTCACAAACATAAACAATGCTCCTTTTTTAAAAATAAAAATAAAACCTTCTTTTCTGTTTTATCCCACTCTCTCTGCAATATTTAAGAATATAAACTCTTGTCTCTCTTATGCTCATTAAATTCAGAATAGTAAACATGAAAGGAATAAACAAAACAAAACAAAACTCTTTTTCTCTCGTAGAGGCAGTAAATAAAACAAACTCCATATAAACAAATGAAAACAAGATAAATATATAGAAAACTATTGGTAATGGCGATGAACGGAAAAGAGCGGATCCCTGACTTCCAATTGTGTTGATGGTGACGGGTTTGCACGGTTG